GAGAGAGAGCATTGGTTTCATGACTGGAGACAGGGCTGGTGTCAGCTTGTTGGGATCCTCAGGCAACTGCTAAGCAGAGGCCCACTGCCAATCTTCTGAGCTTCTTAGCCTTGCTGTTTGGCTACTCTTCCCTGTACACCTTCCAAGAGGGAGGAAATGAGAAGATGAGAGTTGACCTTGCTTGCTGCAAGAAACGATAATTGACAAGCCAGCCAGGCCAAAATTTGTGAGCAGAGGTTTAAAGGTTAGTCTTTTGCCTCTTTCTGCAGATATGGAGGTATATCTACAACAGTCTTCCCCAACCTGGCAGCCGCCAGATGTGTTGGATTGCAACTCCCACGATCACTGGCCAGCATTTATTGGTTCAAGTCGATGGGACTTGTACTTTGTGGAGTGCCAGGCTGGGAAGTCTGATCTAAACTCATTCTTTCTCCCTGGAGATTGCAGAGACATCTGATCTCACCAAAGTCACAAATGCCTGAGTGACATCCCATTTGGACTATGTAACATGCTGAATGTGAGGCTGCCTTTGAAAGCTGTTCCAAAACTTCACCTAGTCCAGAATGCTGTGGCCAGACTTTTGATGGAGTGGCTTATAGGGAGCACACAACTCCTTTGTTGCAAAGTTTCACTAGAAACCAGCCTGTTTGGCAGAACAGGCACTGATTGTAACCTATAAAGTGCTATATGGCTTTGGGGCCAAGCTACATGAAAGATAAGCTTCCTGATAATTAAGATCCTCAGAAAAGTCTGCCTTTTCAAGACCATTGTTTTCAGAGGCATGTTTGGTGATGTCATGAAAAAGGGCCTTATTGGTGTCCGTTCCTCTCTGGCTATGGAACTTCCTGTTGATGGAGGCTAAACTATTTTTGCTATCCTTCCACTGGCAGGGAAAGAGCCCTTCATTCAAGCCAGCTTTTGGTGTGCAAGCACATCTGTTGAGCTGGATGCTCTTTTTATTCTGGTGTTTTGTAGTTAGTAGCTTCAGCTCTTTTGTTCATGGTTCTGGGAGCACCTATTCCTAGGTGTCAGGAGTGTAGGTTGCTTCAGGAGTTGTTTTCTGTGTTCAAGGACTGTGTGGTAGAACCCAAAGAATTCATCATACTTCAAGAACCCACAGGGTCAGTCAAATAATATCTTGATTAAGACTTATGACATTTCAGAATGCAAGATGCAAACATTCAAGTTGCACAGCACAGCTCTTCAGGGAAATTGTTTCCCTACAGAGTTAGGGCAGGTAATCATCTATCTGATTTTCTGTGCATGGCCATGAGCTGGTGTCCCATGGTGTCAGCTGATGAGTCTGCTATTTATGTCACCTGCTCCAAGAAGTTTGCTATATGCAGGACTGGCCCACTACATTTTGATGTTTGAGACAAAGGGCAGGTGGGCACCCCAGCCAGTCCATGTACAATCATTGCCTGGTCTGGCAGCTGATTTTTTCTGCAGTGCAGGCAATGGGTCAGTATCTTCCACTACACTGGTAAGAAACAGGCAATTCAATGTTTTGGAGCCTAAGGGCAAGAAGGGGACAGGCTCACAACACAGAAGCAGTAGCTTGGAAGCTCTTCTGTCTTTTCAGGAGTTTTACAGTGCAATCTTATACACATCTATTGAGAATGAAGTCCTAGTGAGCTCACTGGGATTCACTCCAAATGAGTATCACGTTGCTTTCCCAAGCCCAGGTTATCCTAGGCAAATTAACTCTGTTTTCCAGCACCTGCCATCTGAAGCAACCACCTAAATTTGCCTAATAAGGCCCCAGTTGTGTGTCATTCCCACATTAATAAAGAGTGTGTGACAGCCTCAGCTATGCTCTTTAAAAGTTGTTTCAAAATGTGTACTGGAACTTATTAAGAGGCATAAGCAGGTTTTCCTGTTTCAATGGCAATGTCATGCAACATTTTGCAGAAGAATTGTGACAAAGTGAGTCAGTTAAAATTTGGCTAGCTGGGCCCTTTTTAAGAAATAAAAAATATGTACAATATAGTGCAATAGACATTGGAAGCAATATGTCCTTTTATCATCTGCCAGGCAAGGCAATGGCTTTTCCTCTTCTGCTTCTTCCATCCCTTCCATCCCTTCCAAAACACTCCCACTCTCCTGGTCAGCCTGGCAACTTGTGGACAGCAACCATGAGATCGCTGTGCTCCCACTTTGGTTTCCTAAAACTCCCATCTCCGCTGTTGCAAGGTCCCCTTCCCCAGAATCCTGGTCATGGGATGTCTGCCAAGAATGGCTGTTGGCTCCACTCGCTGCATTCTGGGTGTTTCAATCAACCGCCAAGCCTTGTTCCAGTCCTTTGATTGCACTGTCCTCCTGCTTGTTCATCTCCACAAGGATTCTCCCTGGAGCACCAGCGAGAAACATAAGATCTGGAATTCCTCTGGAGTACGTATCAGCTGACTTGTCAGGGGAGCCAATCGTTGCCACATCCAGCTGGAAACTTTTGACCATGTGGAATCTCCTTAGGCTTTCTGTATAAACTGGACTAGCTATAGCGTGCTCCTAGTCTCTGGCTGCCAGGGTGCGTGCTTTAACAGAATGGCATCTACTTAATTTACTTAAGATAACAATTTGTGGTTTTCATTCTTCAGCTTCATTTAGGTGCTACATTCTAAAGAATAATAGCATTTCCTAAAGTCACATTCAGAGAATGAATCTAACCTCTTTCAACAAATTTGGGTGCATACATAATAAGAAGCCTGGGCAAATAATGAAAAAGACAGCCAGATGCTGAAGTGTTGTTGACAATATTTATATCTGATTTGTGCTATAATGTGTGTATTTATCTTTTATTCATTAAAAATTGCTGAGGCAGCCAATTTTTAAGTGGCTCATTTTGCCACCGTTCTGGTATAAAGTGCTATCTAGCATTGCTATTAAAACTGAAAAAATGTCTTGGTTCCTGCTGTGAGGTTCCAATAGTTATTATGCGAAATCTTCTTGAGTGCATAGCTGAGGCTATTGTGCACTTCTCATTAATACAGGCTTCAAATATATGTGGTGGGGGGCATGGGGGAGATGATCTTTAAGCTGTGCTGCTTGCAACCTGCATAGCACAATCTAGACCTGGAAGCTACAATCTCAGATGTGTTTTGTGAGGGCATGACCTATCCATTTCATAAGGGCTTAAGTAAATGCAAACCTTTGGCAACTGTGTTCTCAGGCTCTATTTCTCTTACATTGCATTATCCTGATTCTAATGTGTTATGTCTCAACCTTTGATATGTTACTTAAGCTTTGTTTAAACTCATGTTTAAACCCATACCCATTATTAGAGATGTCCACAGAATACTTTTTTTCCTTAGATTACCATTTCTCTGCTCTCCTAAAAGTGTTCTTATTTTTAATTTATACTTTTTGATGCAGATGTAAAACTGCTTCCCTGAAAACCATGGTTTGCAATTGGGAATCATCATCTTGAAATACAGCTTTGTTCCCCTTTTGACCTCTCATTCCTAGTGTGAATTCTTTGAACCCTGCCCCTTTTACAAGCTATGGTTTAGCTCAGCCTTCCTTGCACTTGATGCATACTAGTGCATGTAGCCTGTTTGCTCCCACTTTGCTTCCCTTACCTTCACAAATATTGTTAAAACAAGCCAGGAAAAGATAGTTTATTGTGACATCTGAACTCAAGAAATCAGTTGTCATTGTTGTCTTACAAATCCTGGCATGTGTATGAACAACCAGTCAGGATCCTAGGTCCTTGACTACAATTTGCAGCATTCCTCAACATTACCCATGATATCATGGGCTTGTGGAAATTGTAGTCCAAAATACCTGGGAGGTACTTGGTTGGGGAAAATTAATTTAGTGTTATATATATACCAGGGCTAACCTTGATTTATACTAATCTGATTTTCTCTTAACCTGGATTTACAAATGCATTAAGGATTAAGAGTGAGCCTGACATTAACACTTAATTAAACCTGAATGGTTAATATGCATACAAATGAAATACTAAGCCATGTTGACAGTTGACAAGAGAACAGTGTAGACATATGCATCAGAGAAAGGCAGAGAGATCCAAGGCTGGCTTTTGGTTTTTCAAACCAGGGTTTTCATAATGCCATAATGATAAGTCAGGATTCCTGGGTTATCCTGATTTACCGTTAAGAAGCAGCATGCTACTGCATACATCCCAGTTACTTCCCCGTTTGGCTGAGAAGGTAAAACTAAGTGAACAGAGTTAGCTTATTTTGGTGTCCAAACACAGGATCTTGATTTGTTGCTCCCAAACAAACTGTGATTAAGCCAACAACAAGATGTGGTTTCTTGGTGATTTCTGGTCCAAACTTGTTTAGGAGCGACAAAGCAGGATCTGGGTTCAGATGTCACAATAAGGTATCCTTTCTTGGTTTATTTTAACAGTTTTTGTGAAAGGAAGGGCAAAATAGGGATGAATAAGCTGCATGCACAAGCGTGCTGCTCATTCACAGTAACGAAGTATAATCCAGATATACTGGCTTATGCATGATCACACTCATGTAACCAGCAACAAATCTGTGTGAGATTCATACAAAATTGAAGTGTGAATATGATCACCTAAGTTAGCATATCATTCTGGAGATCTGGCATCAAATTTGTCAGCTCTTAAAGATGAGGATATTGACTGACACATTCAAGAACATATATGTCTTTTTGCATCTTGCCAGATTTTGATTCAGAATATTCATTTTCAAACAAAAGATTAGTATCAACATTTTAAATAATTCAGAATTTAAATGTTGCCAAGAATCTTGTATGTGTAAGTTATAAAACATTGAATTTTGCTAAAATTTTGTTTAAATCTCAGTTCATACAGAGTACAGTAAAATATTCTTTCATTCCATGTGACTTAATAGAGAAAAAAATGGCTTCATTGTTGAATTTCTGCATGTTTGGTAATGCAGCAAATTAAGACTTCGGTCATAGAATGACATACTTGATGAGATAGCACTGCTAGTGGTATATGATAAAAGACTTCATGTTCTTAATTTGTTTCTGATTTTTTGTAGGAGAAATGGGGGACAAAGGACAGAAAGGTAGCATGGGGCGCCATGGAAAAATTGGGCCCATTGGTTCAAAAGGTATGCTTTCTTGCAATGTAAGTTAAAATTTAAAACTGCTGTGTTTCATTTGAGTGTACTAAAGATGTTCAGTTTCTCTCTTTCTCTCTCCCCTGCCCCCCCCCCCCTTTTGGCAAGGTTCATTCTGCAAAGACATTACTATTGATATTGCTTGCCATCACTGGTGAACTGACAGATATGTGAATTTGAGTTTCCCTTACACAGGAAACATGTGCAAACTAAACATTCTGCAGCTAAATCAGACTTATATACTCTTTTAGGGAGCAATTCTGTGGCCCTAAAGAGCATCTGAGGGCCCGCTGGATAACTTGGATTCCCAGGTCAGAGACAGTGCTCTGATCTTGGAACTGAGAATTGGAACTGCAGCCTTCTGATCCCTTACAGCTGTTGTGGAAGAACTGCACCAGCTGCTCCTCAAGGTTGGAAAAGCAATCTTGGAGAGAGAGAGAAAAAGTAAGTGTTCAAATGGGCAGGGAGGGGAGAAATCTGGAGAGGTTAGGATATCAATTATCTTGGGTCCTATCCAGTCTTCTTCCCTTCCACTCCAAAACACCCCAACTAAAAGAATGCAAGGCAGGAGGATGGGGAGGCAAAGATTAGCTCTACTGCTTCTCCTGCCCTTCATGGGATGAGAGTAAGCCCCCCAAGTTCAGGAGGCAGCTTATGATCATTGTGACTAGGTTGTGCCATTCATTGTTATTACCTTAAAACAGACTTAGAAGATATGCTGTATCAATAAGGCATAAGTCCAGGTGCTATCATACCCCAAAGAATGTTGTATGTTTTCCATTTCGTCAAGGGCTTCTGATTCACTGATATACTTCCAGTTCCTGGTATGCGGGGGCATTTGCTGAGGCCCTGACACCTCAGCTGGGCCCAGCAGTGCTGACGCTTTGCCAGGTATCTCTACCGACACCATCATCTACCAACATGTAGCCCCTGTGCCTCAGCAGCAGTCCTGTTGTAGCAGCCAGCTTTGCATTTGCAAGTTGACTGGGCAGCAGCTATGCTATGAAGGCCTATGAACAGAACAGCTGCTCAGCTCCCAGTCCATTAGAGTGTTGATGCTGGATAGGCCTGAGAACAGCTGCAAGGGAAAGCTGATGGCTGCCCTTGCTTCTCCTGCACAGTCACTGACTAGCTTACAGAACAGCTGGATAAACTTGTGATGGACCTTGAATGGGAGGGTGCTGGCTGCTTCCCTCTGTCCCACCCATCCAAGAGCAGGCAGGAGGAGAAGGTTGGAACTGGAAATTATGGAAATGCAGCTGCCGGGGGTGGGTAAGGGGGTGCAATGCTGAGAGCAATCTGCCTGTAGGACGCACCTCTAAAATCTGCAGCCAGGCCTGCTGACATGGGACTGATACTGTGCACTGGGTTACTTGGGTGGTGTGGACAGGGGGAAGCAATAATATCCTATTCGATTCTGAAGCAGTTGAATAGATTGATTTCCCCAACATGATTCTGCTAAAATCACTGACATATCTTGTATCAATGCTGGGGTTAATAATTAAAGTGAAGCTAAACTCCCATTCATGCAGATATATATTCCAAATAAGAAGAATTACTATTCTAGCAATAGTGCAAATAAGCTGTGGCATTTTGGTCTGGATCTGAAATATGCAGCTTGCAGGTAGAACTAGGGTAACGAATATTAAAGTTTTCACAATGGAAGTCCTATGATTACTTTACACATCTGAAATGCTGTATCTCAACAGTAAGCTTATTAAAATATTAACCATGAATGCAAACAATCTCAGTGGTTAAAAAAAAAAAGTTTCCTAGGAACTGAAAGAGTTACATACTCATCAAGGCATAAAGTAGCTTTCCTCAACAGGACAGCCTCCAGGTGTGGTCTATAATTTCCATCAGCCACAGCCATCATAGGCATTGCAGCATCTGGAAGAAACCAGTTTGGGGTTAGGGTTAGCATAAGCTTTTTTTGAGTATACCCCACTCTTCCGATGCATAAGGGGTCATCCTCCTTTGTCAGATAAAGGTTTTCTTCATGATTGATGGATGTGCAATCTATACAGCTAAATAAAGTACATTCTGATCCTAAAATGCATTAATGAAGAAGCTACATTGATTTCATTAACGCCTGAGCTTAATGTGGTACCACTATTGTTCCCCATAGCATTATGGTGGCAATATCTTAATGTCAAATAGAAACAAAAGCCTTGACCTATTTGTTGAGAAGCTTAATTTTTCTTTCATAGGAGAAAAAGGAGATAACGGTGATGTAGGCCCACCTGGCCCTAATGGAGATCCAGGTAAATCATGTGAACTTTGACTTTAATAGTATGTTTCTTGTTGTTGTTGTTAGTTGCGAAAAAAGGTGCTGGAACTCATGAAATTATTTACCTTTCGCACGGAGTCAATCACTGTACACACACCCACACGAAACATATGTGTAATGAAACATATCGGTCGCCGCCCGCAGTAAGCACTCAGCGCGCGACCACACGACCAGTCACAAGCCGAGCAGTGCCACAAGCCAAGCAGCATCATCACAACCAGTGCAGATGAAGTACACATGCATCGGATTCAACACACAAGCAGCCCACATGCACCATTTTAATGATTTTGCCACTGACCTGCTACGCTCGACAGGGCGATTCAAACCCACGTGGACCATACATCAAATTTTCAAAAGTTACTTTTAAAACTTGGAAAATCTGTTGAAAAATGGTGCCGGAACTCTGTTCCGGGGCGCTCTATGACAAAAAAAGCGCTGGCCTTGACTATACGCACTTTTGTCAGCAGGGTGATATCTCTGCTTTTTAGTAAGCTATCTAGATTTGCCATAGCTTTCCTCCCCAGGAGCAAGTGTCTTTTAATTGCTTGACTGCAGTCCCCGTCTGCGGTGATCTTGGAGCCCAGGAAAATAAAATCTGTCACTACCCCCATTTCTTCCCCATCTGTTTGCCAAGAAGTGAGAGGACTGGATGCCATGATCTTAGTTTTCTTAATGTTGAGTTTCAAGCCAACTTTGGCACTCTCCTCCTTCACCCGCATCAAGAGGCTTTTTAGTTCCTCTTCACTTTCTGCCATGACACTGGTATCATCTGCATACCTGAGGTTGTTGATATTTCTCCCGGCAATCTTAATTCCAACTGGTGATTCATCTAGCCCTGCCTTTCTCATGATGTGCTCTGCATATAAGTTAAATAGGCAGGGTGACAGTATACAGCCTTGCCGAACTCCTTTCTCAATTTTGAACCAATCAGTGGTTCCATGTCCAGTTCTCACTGTTGCTTCTTGACCCGCATATAGATTTCTCAAGAGAGAAATAAGATGGTCTAGTGCACCCATCTCTTTAAGAGAACTTGCCACAATTTGTTGTGATCCACACAATCAAAGGCTTTAGCATAGTCAATGAAGCAGAAGTAGATATTTTTCTGGAATTCCCTAGCCTTCTCCATGATCCAGCATATGTTGGCAATTTGATCTCTAGTTCCTCTGCCTCTTCGAAATCCTGCCTGTACTTCTGGTAGTTATCAGTCCACATACTGCTGGAGCCTAGCTTGTAGGATTTTGAGCATAACTTTGCTAGCATGTGAAATGAGTGCAATGGTGCAATAGTTTGACCATTCTTTGGCATTGCCCTTCTTTGGGATGGGAATATAAACTGACCTTTTCCAGTCCTGTGGCCACTGTTGAGTTTTCCAAATTTGCTGGTATATTGAGTATAGCACTTTTACATACTGCGTCGTCTTTTAAGATTTTGAATAGCTCAGTGGAATACTGTCACCTCCACTAGCTTTGTTGTTGCTCAGACTTCCTAAGGCCCATTTGACTTCACATTCCAGGATGTCTGGCTCAAGGTCAGTGACCACCCCATCCTGGTTATCAGGGACGTTAAGCTCTTTCTTGTATAGTTCCTCTGTGTAATCTTGCCACCTCTTCTTAATCTCTTCTGCCTCTGTTAGGTCCCTGCCATTTTGGTCCTTTATCATGCCCATCTTTGCATGAAATGTTCCCTTCAAACCTCCAATTTTCTTGAAGAGATCTCTGGTCCTCCCTATTCTATTGTTTTCTTCTATTTCTTTGCACTGTTCATTTAAGAAGGCATTCTTATCTCTTCTAGCTATTCTCTGGAATTCTGCATTCAATTGGGTATCTCTCTTTCTCCCTTGCCTTTTGCTTCCCTTCTTTCCTCAGCTATTTGTAAAGCTTCCTCACAGCCATTTTGCTTTCTTGCATTTCTTTTTCTTTGGGATAGCTTTAGTTGCTACCTCTTGTACAATGTTGCGAACCTCCGTCCATAGTTCTTCAGGCACTCTGTCTATCAGATCTAATTCCTTAAAACTATTTGTCACCTCTAATGTATATTCATCAGGGATGTGATTTAGGTCATACCTGAGTGGCCTAGTGCTTTCCCCTACTTTCTTCAATTTAAGCCTAAATTTTGCAACAATGTTTCTTATAAGCATATCTAAGATCTCACAACATAAACCTTTACCCAATTGCATGTGGCAATACTAATACTAGTTTGTTATAAAATTGTTGGACACTTTAAGAGCAGATTCACACATGCATGTACATTATTCTGCATATATATCCATTTATGCATATGAAGAAGCTATTTGATTTCTCCGCACAATTCCCGCTTGGTATAGGATTACATGGAGGAATATCAATGTGTATGCAGATGTATTTGGATATAAGTTTCAGCAGCCATTTCTGTGACTGTACTGACAGTATGATTGTACTGAAGACAATCATGTTAGAGAAAGTCAAAGGCAGAAGATGAAAGGGAAGACCAAATATAAGGAAAGGAAACCACAGTTTTGCACTTGGAAGAGCTGAATGGAGCTGTCATGGACAGGACATTTTGGAGGGCTTTCATTTACAGGGTTGCTAAAAGTTGGAGATGACTTCATGGTACCTAACAACAATCTGACACAAACTGACTAGCAAGAATGGTTCCTGGACCCTGTGACCTTTATCTGAGTGCAGCTCAGTTCTGGAAGTTTTATGCATGTGATTCCATATGTGAGAAGGAGAGCTGTGTGAAGATAAGTAACTGGCTCTCCTGTGTATATGCAGGAGAGGTGACAATTCAGTAGGTACAGTAGCTCGTCAGGGGTATTCTCAAGAGGCTTGGAGCAGGCCCATGGGTTAAAGCTGTGAGATGCGTACTTTCCTGGGTGGCGAGCAAGCAATATGAGGCTGTCATGCAAATGCCCAAGTATACTTATACACAGATTTTGCAGGAGTTCCTTGTGAATGTGTCCCACTACGGACAGCCATTGGCAAAATGGATAACCAGGTGACACTGCTGACAACTGAACTGAAGTTCATTAAAAAAGGTAAGCCCGTCCATGCAAACATTCCCTCCATGTTGACAAATTGCATTTAAAATAACCTCGCTTTATAGTCAGTATATTGTGTCTGTCTTATGTAATATTCTTTAAGTTGGTTCATAGAAATGCAAGTTCTCACTTTTCAGCACTGCCCTCCCCTGCAGCTGTTGCTGGTGTGCGTGAGACAGATAATAAGACCTACCTGCTGGTGAAAGAGGAGAAGAGGTATATGGATGCCCAACTCTACTGCCAGGGAAGAGGAGGAACACTGAGCATGCCCAAGGATGAGAGTACCAATAGCCTAATTGCGTCTTACATCAGTCAAGCTGGCCTGAGTCGAGTTTTCATTGGCATTAATGACCTAGAAAAAGAGGGCAATTTTGTGTATTCTGATCGATCGCCTATGCAAACCTTCAACAAATGGAGTACTGGCGAGCCAAATAACGCTTATGATGAGGAACACTGTGTCGAAATGATAGCCTCAGGGCGGTGGAATGATGTGGCCTGTCATATTACAATGAATTTTGTTTGTGAATTTGACAAAGAAAATGTCTAGAAAAAATCCCATTTTCCTATCCTGTACCACACCTGAACATACCATGAATAACTGGTGAAATCCAAACCTGCAAAAATTAACAGTGATCCATTTCTGTATTTCAGTATGAATGTGCCCTCTTCCAGGATTCTGATTCTTTGCCAGGAAATGTGCAACGAGGGAGGGTGTGTTTCCTGGGCTCCCCTCTGTCACCGTTTCCATCGCCTTCTACATATGGAGGGCAATTTCTGAAGGGAAGAGTTTCCACTATGCATGGTGGTTCTGCACAGCATTTAGAACCTTGCACAACTGGGGTTTGAAGTCATGTGAAGAGTCTTCATGGAGAGAAGAGGTTTTCCTATTCAGAAATTCTCTCTGTGTGTGAAGGTGATGGAAGAGGGCAGAACTGGTGCACTGCCCTCCTCACACTGAACAGGACACGTGTGAGGGAGAGAGAAATAGGCACACACCTTAGGAGGTCTAGACACAGCTTATTTTGCCCACTGATAATGTGGACTTCTTCGTTCATTTTCAGCTCTACAGTCATTTCCAATTAATTCTTTTTGTTCTTACTGTTTTCCTGGCAGAGCTCCTCTTTGCATGGTGAAGTAGGAACAATCCACTTCCCCATTTGTTATACTTGACGTACCACCAAGCAAAGAAGAGTGTTCTTGAAGACAGTTGATCATCTGCAACTAAGTGATTTGGCACAACCCATTGAAAAGTTCCCTTTTGCAAGCCCCATTAAAATTAAGGCTGTCTCCTGCATTTCACTTGCACAGGAGAGCTTTCCAATGGATTACCCCCCCCCCCAAAAAAAAAACAAAACAAAACAAAACAAAAGCAGGCCAAGATGTCCATAGGAACTGGCATATCTGAACAGGGTATATGCTACAAGTAGCACTGAGGAATTAAGAAACAATGAAGGACAAATGTAAGCTTTTAAGGGTTCTCTCCAATGTCACACTAGCAGAAAAATTACAAGGTTGGCATTTTTAGGCAACCACTAGCAGAATTACAATCAGAACTTCCACAATTAATGCAAGTAACAGAGTCTAATGAAGTTAAAATGCCCTGCACAGGAGAAATCAAAGTATTGGATTTGATACTTTCACAAAGATGAAGTAATAAAATTTTGTGCTGAGGAGGGAAATTAGTCTATCAGTCTTTCCTAAGACCTATCCTAATTACTCTTTGTTGATAAAATATTATAATGCTATTTTTAAGAAGTATATGATGTTAGTATTGTACAGCTGTAAATATAATCTAGGTATTTCAAATATCAATATTTACCCTTCAGAAGGGAAGAGAAGAGTAGACATGGTTTGCATTACTTTAAAGAAATTATGCCATAATCAAACTCAGAACAGACATGCATAGACCACTTGAATTCAGTGGGCTTAAACTTGCTTAGTTCTGATGGATTAGAAACTATAAGTCCTTAGTATGCATCGGATCCTTTGTTGAGATTATCAAGAGATGTAAAACTACAGTGAAAAACGTAAGTGCAGTTTTTAGTTTACTAGTTTTGAAGACTGTTCCTGGTTTCTGTTTTTAAAAAATCTGTTAACAGTCTTGTGCTATTGCATTCCATCCGCTTTCCCTAACTTGGCATACTCCAGATGTGTTAGACTATAACTGGGGCATTCTGGGAGTTGAAATTCAGTACATCTGGAGAGCAGTACTTTGGGAAAAGCTGACATACATTTAAAATATCTTACAAAGAGTCTTTATCAGTTTCTCAGTACCAGTAAACTAGTTCCTTAGACCTTTCATTATACTTAAAAAATTCAGACTATTGCAAATATGGGTATACTGCACTGAGCTTATTGGGTTCTATTGTTTGAGTAGATTTTAATTCATTGTATCATGAGAATTGGAAGTAGGAAATGAATTGCAAAAGTATTTGCAGAACATGAATCCAGATTCTATACTTCTTATGTATTTCTAGGCTTAGAGCAGAGCTTGGCACTGAGGTTTGGTGACCAGAATAATTTACAAAAGATCAGTCAGATTCCAGATGACCTGCTCTGTCTAAAGCAATCTCAGTGGACACAATCCTACTTTGAATTGCACGTGAATCAAGTCCATTGAAATCAGAGGGATATTTTGCATGAAATTAGATGTAAATTAGTGGACTATTTTGTCTATATATTTTGTCTGTTTTGTTTGCATGCTGTCAAAATTGCTTAAAGAAATTTACAAAGATGTGCCACAAAATTTTGGCTATTCAGTGTTTTAAACTCATCTTATCCTTACATTTGCCAGTGTACACATATGGATAAAAGAAAGTGAAGATTTTCCCCACAGATATTCAGTGGCAGCAAGTTGACTCTTATCAACTTAATGAATGTTATCAATTTACTCCACCTGAGAATGAGTCTGGTTACAGCTGTAGATTGGCCCTTTGTGATGCTTTGTAGCTTTAATTATGATTACTGAGGCCTTAATCCCATGATAGAATCAATCCAATTGCATTTTCTTCTAGCCTGGTTGGAAATCAAGGAAGGAGCACATGAAATGGTTGAAATTAAAATTGTAATTTATTTCCCAGTTCATCTGCATAAATAAATCCACCTGAAGTCAGATGTAAATCCCAGTCCTATGTATTAGGTATTAATTTAGCTGGCTTCTCAAGTTTGTTTGTGCTGGAACTGAACTGAGATACATTTATTAATATGGGTGACCATACTGAGTCCAGCAGATGAACATTAATTAAAATTGGTTAACTCTCATAGCTTGAGGTTTGGGACCAGGCTTACTCTTTTTCCTTCCACAAAAAGTTAGAGTTGGCACATAATGGCCAGCACAGACGCTTTTTGCTTTTAAAAACCTTTTGGGTTACTTTGAGTAAGCCAGTGTGCTGGTTTAATGGCTTCTGAGTGGTCCCCCTTCTCAGCAGGAGTGGGTAAATAAGTCAGGGCCCATTTGAAGTTCTGAACCAGGAACTCTGACATGTTATCCAGCAACAATCCTTTGTTTGGGACAGAACAAGGCAGTGTTCCTGGTTTAGACATCATGCTAACCAACCCAGGGCAGGAGGAACTAAGTGGGTGCAATTGAACTGCCTGTACCAGTTTGCTGGTTTGCTCACAGGTTGCTGTGATGTGTGAGCATTGATTTGTAGCTCTTTCTAAGCAGCACAAGACAACGTTCAGTTAAGTAATGTGTTTCTACCTATGCATAAACTCTATGTGCTAAGTGAGTATCAACAATTTGCATATTCGCTATGACCAATTATGCCTCCATTTAGACTCACTTTGCTATATGGTCAGAATGCATTTTTGTAAACCTCATTTTTTTGTTTTTGTTTTTAAATTGACATGTTTATAACTTTTCCTGTGAGTTTCAGAACTCTTCTGTACCACACAAGAGTCCATCATGCAATCACATAGTATTCAAGCCCTTCACCCTTTCCCAGGAAGTTTGTGGTTTTAAACTTAAATATTTGTCCTGTTGTGCTTATTAGAAATAATTTGCTCAAGTCAATGAATGTGGTGAACGGCTAAAACAGTAAGCAATATGTGATAATATCCTGGGAGAAATTCATGTACCTGGGCAATTGCAGTTCTGCGCATACTTCAATGGTACTAAGTCCCTCTGAAGAAAATAGGATTCACATTGAAGTAGATAGATGCAGAATCACATTGCAACACTAACCTTATCTACACTGATTTTAATGGACTTCTAAGTAAGCATGTGCAAGAAAAGTCATATGTTATTATTAATATTATTATATTGCATTTATATCCCACCTTTCTTCCTCTTCCAAGGAATACAGTGTGGCTTATATAATTACATAGTTCATATAATATAAATGTGTTGATACCGAAACATTCCAATAGCTATGACAAAAACTGAGTGTGCATCTGTAAATTGTACAGATTGTACAATTGTACACCTGTAAATTGAAACTGAACTTTGATTAGGTTCTCTACATGTGGAACATGGGACATAAATATTCTGTTGTGTTTTGGGTATTGTTTGATTAGTGTAATGTTACACAAGTCCTCTTTTTAAATAGTGAAAGTGTACCTGCTGGTACACGAAACACAAATGACAACTAATTTATAGTGATCCAATTAATAAGTGGTTTTGTTTATAACAGTTTTGCTCTTTAAAGTATGACAGCATTTGAAATTTATTGTATCATTTTATGCTTAATGAAATAAATTGTTTTATTCCAAAACATCTGTTGCAACCTTTTCTCTTAGTCCTCAACTGAAAACACTTTGCCAGAAAATGTGAAATGAGAATTCAAGAGAAATCCTAGGAGTTTATATCTCCTACAGAGTCTGCCTTTACATATCTTGTTTTCCTCCATTAACATTTAGGGTGCATCCAGATTAGATTTTTATGATGCCTTTCCTCAACTTCATTTGCAGAATTTTTCCAGGACTCAAGATGATATCATCTACTCATACCCCTCTAGTATTTCCTATCACTTCTACTTTCTTCTTTATTGCAGAAAATCCATTCATTAATTAATACAATGCCTTCTGGTTGTTTATGCCAAGATTCCTTCTGGAAACAAACACAGAGCAGCTTAAAGGCAAGTTCTCTTGAGGAAGTTAATGGGAGAAACATTTCCATGCTTCCCCTCTTCCTCCCTGTAACCACCTGAAAAGCCTGTTAAGCTCTGCCTGATCTGGAGAGATTCCTTCTCAACATTCCCCGTGCCCTATTAAGGAGTGGCCCCTGACCCTCCGAGAGGCTTTGGGGAACAGTCTTCTGTTCATCCCCTTAATGTCCACTTATCTTAGGATCCAAGCCGATGGATGCTTCCAGACAACACTTTCATGTTGCCATCACCCTTCCCTATTCATGGAAGTTTATGGCGAGTCCAGATACTGTATTCCTGTTGTAAACCTCCTGTGTATGTATGTTGGGAGACGGGCAGTTGCTTTTAGTGCACATTATCAAGAAGTGCTGATTTGAAGTCAGAGGAGCAGGAAAAAGAGTGGGGTGGTGGTGGTTTGGAATGTGGGCCAAATCCAGACACTGAAATGAGAGCAGAGGCACTCAACTTCTAAGAATTACCAAGATGTACAGTTATTGGGAGAGGACTTGGAACAGGGGACTTTCTCAGAGGCAGATGAGTGAGAGGCAGTTTCTCTAAGACAGAAGCAGATATGGCTCTCAACCCTATGATGTGACATTGGCAGAGGAGGGGAGGGCTACCCAATTAGAGGATTGGCCTGCGGAAAGGAGGCTTGCTTGTTTCCAAAAGACACCCCCCGCCCCCACACACACACAGAATGGGGCCCAAGACATACTCATAAGGAGAGTTCCTAGAAGTAAATACTAAATTGGGTTCAGGAAACCACTCTGTCAATAAAGGTCTTTGGCTTGAATGTGCAAAGGGAGGAACCAGCTTGTGACAATGTATGTGTATATTTACACTTCTTCCATCTTTCCCCTTCATGGAGAAAATCCATTAGAAAGATGGAAGAACTGCACTTAGAGCCCCTTCCATCTAGAATTATCCTGCTAGAAATGACAGTTGTCATAAACGTTGTGTTCAACACCATTCCATGAAGTGCCTCAAGGCAAAACTTTTCTAAAGCAAGCACCATGACCCACTTGCAGAATGCTTCAGGAGTCCAGATAACATTGGCTTGATTGTGTGACCCTTCTCTGCTTTTCTAGCGTCACGTTTGCCTTTTTACTTTGGAACAAAAACGAGGAGGAAAAGACAGAATAGCTGAACAGTGTACTTCTAACTGGTTGTACTAGCAGTCATCTCTCTGGAAGCATCCTAGGAAGGCAATTTCCCTGCTGCAAATATCAATCCCCTCAATACTGATGACCCTTGCTGACATCTTCTGCATTCTCAGGGCTCTCTGTCCACCACTATTCTGACTTGCCTAGGGATAGGTGTCTGCTACCGCCACTATTGTTCCCCTTCATGTCACTATGAAGATCATTTAATGCCCATCATTTAATGTTGACCCTACCACAATATTGAGCACGCTTATTATTGGTCCTGAGAACACCGCCTGCAACCAGAAGCCTCCCAGGGTGCCCTGTCACATACAGTCTCCAGACCTCCTGGCCCCACTACAACAACACCTCCATCTCCCTGGACATCTTTGCCATGATGCTTCTGCAGCACCTCCCTTGCTCAGACTTTGCTTATCGCTCAAACCTTGGACACCCAGACTCCAATTAAAGAGCTTGCATCACTGCCAAATGGAACCACTCTTCCTCTTTATTCTTGCTGTCAACCCCACTATATTTTTCTTTTTTCTCTTAAGATAGATATATAATATAGTCATATTATTAATATTGACACTAAAACAATTAATATAATCAGTTATTAAATGGTCTGATTCTGTGCTATTAAAACCCCCTAGTCCAGAAATCAAGGTGATCAACTGGACGTCCATCCACCCCATCAAACCCTCGGAAATAGTTCAAGAATGGATACCAAATTCTAAATCTTTTTTATTTTCCCTCTAGCCACACAAAAGTGGGTGGTCAGCTTTTCCACCAATGCCACTGTCCTATCCTATTAAGGTATTTCCTAAATGAGTGCCCTTGAGGCATTTTTCTAAAACCTTACAATCTCAGCTCTTGCAGCTCCCAAAAGTATTGCCAGCAGTTTACAATTCAGTCCTTTATTCTCCCCAGTAAACCATGGAAAAAGTAATAGAGTTTCACTAGAGGTTCTTGCTTGTTGTATTAGTTTAACCTCTCTATTATGTTCAAGGGAACCAATCACATACAGTGGTACCTTGGCTCACGAACTTAATCCATTCCAGGACTTTGGTCATGACCCAAATTGGTCATGAACCAAGTCAAATTTCCCCATAAGGGTCAATGTAAATAAGAATCCATTCTGCAACTATTTTTTCTACTCACAAAAATGTGAAGCAAAGTGACAACAACAAAGATCGCGGCCATCTATCCCCCCAGTAATCGTGTGGGGGGGTGGGGGGAGACGGGCGCAATTGCACCCATGCAGGGAAGGTGGGCATGCTAGCGATTGTTGCCCAATGCAGAGTTTGCAACCTGCAGCAAATTTTTTATTAAATTTCTGTCTGCGACCTGATTTGATCATGAACTGAGGTGTTTGTGAGCCAAGGTACCACTGTATCTGGTAGTTGATTATTTTGTGTAATTTTGTGTGGCACAAATGCTGTCTGGACTGTCTTTAAAACCGTATCTTTGGATCTAGCCTTAAGAGGAACATATTCTTGCCCATGACTCTTCTGATATAATCGTATTTATTTTTTTTCAAATCATTTTAGCTTCCATATTACTACTGTATTCACTCTCAATTATTGTCTCATAGATAAGTGACCCCTCTTTTTACTAAATTCTTTGATACAATACTCTTCATATGTTGTAAATATTCTTCTACCTGTTGTATTATACAAATACAAATGAGTTGTCATATTTTTATTTGCATTAATTAAAATTGGCTAGTTCATATTTGGGTAGTTTTATTATACTGAAATTGGCTTTCCACTTTTAAATAAGTCTCTAATCCTATACATTCTAATTTCTTTCCACAACTTAAACTGTGGATATTTATCTTGACAAATGTAGGCTTGAAGTGATAGCAGAGCAGACTGCATTATTCTGTGTCATTTAGCTGGACACCCCAAGCCATTTGTCTTAAAGGAAATTATATTTAAACTATCTCAGATATCATCCACTAGGCTTACAATTCAGACTTTTAGTCTTCACAGGCTAATGTTTACACAAATATTAATATTTTATACTATTAAGGTTTCATGAGCGACTGTATTGTGACCAGAAAAATAAATCTGCAAACACTAACTCTCTCTCTCATTCCCCCCACCATCCTTGCCTGATACCTGGGAATGAGGCCAACATGCCTCTGGCCCTCAGTGAAAACTATCCCATTGCAGTCCAATTCAGGCCGCTCAAAATAGAGCATAATGGAGATATATAGGAAGCCAAAAAAATCCATATATTTACCCCATATTTGAACCAATTCAGTAATGAAAGCATTATGTATTTGAATTTTATTTCTTGAACAGTTTGGTTAAAAAAAAAGAGAGAGACTACCAAGTTACTATCCTCAGATCCTTCTATTTGAGTCTCACCAGGGCATTATTTATTTTTATAAGTTTAACAGTCTGCACTATTTGAAAAGCTTCACAGTTCATAATGGTGTGAGGCCAAGAACAAAGGCTCCTGGGGTTGAACTCTTCCTTCCACCTCCTCCAACCTTTCTGCCCCTTTTATAAATATTTCCTATTGAAACAGTGAGTCAACAATTTATCAAGTATTCCTTCCCGTTAGAGACATAGTCTGACTATATATTGTGAAGTCTAATTACTTACCTTCCTTCTGCTAGAGATAAAGCAGCCCAATGTCCTTGTAAGAAACAAGGGGGTCATGAAGTCATTCTCACTGGTCTTCAATATTTTCTTCTCTCTCCAGTTTTCTCCTTGCTGTTGTTTTCTCTTTTCTTGAAGCTTCTCCTTATCCTGTTAGACTCAGGTGCATCAGTCTTCAATTTCTTACAAAAATCCTGCAGTTGCTCCATAGTAGTTATAATTTATAACTGTTGTCTGCTAGAGCCAAATAATCAGTTTAAAGGGGAATCCCCACATGCATTTAATTCCATGCTTCCTAAGAGTCTCTGTATAGGACTTCCCTTGTCTGCATCTTCTAATATTTTGAATTTCCAAATCCTGAAAGACTTTCACCTTATTGACTCCATACACCAAATCTCGTACATTGTTCAATTCATAGTAGTTTGCTAGGTTAACTTAGTACTGGCCAAACCTTAGAATAATATCTTTATGTTGACCTTCATGGGCTTGTTTAGGATCCACTCTGTGAATCCTTTCCAAATCTTCTAATGCAATTTTTTGATCTGGGCAAAGGTCTTGAATCGATTGTGTCATTTTCTCTTTGAAATTCTCTTTACTTTCTTCTTCCTTAAAGCCTCTTAGAGGAATGTTGAGATGGTGCTCACGATTTTCTTGTTCCTCCAACTTATCTCTCAATTCATTTTTTTCTATGTATTGCCAACTCTAGCCTCTTGATGTTGAGCCCACTCAAAAGCTTCATTTACTGTTTTTTTCCCGATTCCTTTAATACTTCTGCTCATTTCAGCCAATATCTTCTGTAACTGTGCTAGAGCTGCTTTCAAATCCATTGCGAATCTGTCCTTAATTATTTTAAGAGCTTTTTCATATCTTAATT